TGGGCCTGTTAGGCTCAGGGTCTCTGTTCTAATGCCAAAGTCTTTGATCCACTTTGAGTTGAGTTTTGTGCAGGGTGAGAAATAGGGGTTTGATTTCATTTTGTTATGTATGGATTTTCAGTTTTCCCAATACCTTTTGTTGAAGAGGTACTCTTTTCTCCAAAGTATTGAAAGACCCTCCGACTCCCTGTCCAAGGAAAAGCACACGAGACACTGGCTGCAAAAGCAAGAGGCGATTTATTGATACACAGGCGCCTGCGGGTGCTCAGCGAAACCTCAGCCGGAGCTTCGGTGAACTGGCACACCGGGCTCTAGGGCACAGATCTTTTATAGGGAGCAGGGGGTTAGTTTTTAGCTTAGCACGGTAACAGTTATTCTATTGGTTTCTCTGAATCCAGTCGTTAGGTCACCTGGGGGGTAAACTTGTTTTTCAACTTTTTGTTCTCGGGAAAACCATAGAATTGCATCCTGTCTTTTTAGTTCCTGTTTTTAAACCTGCATCCTGTCCTTTTGGTTCCTGTTTTTTTTTTTTTTTTAAACTTGTTCCTCAAGTTTGACCGTTAGGGTTATCTATATGGAACATCTTGTGGTAGCATTGTGCAGGACTCGAAATGCTACGTGCTGCTGGAGGGGTCTTGACATGGGGGTCGTGTAAGGGAGCATCTTGCAGCTTCAGGGCCCAGGGGTTAGATTTCCTAATGTTGGGCCTGGGACCTTGAGGTCCTTCAGTATGTTTATGGTGCCTTGTCTAAGAGGTAACCGCATTTATGTGGGTTTGTTTCTTTGTGTTCTATTCTATTCCAGTGATCTTCATGTCTGCTTTGGTGCCAATATCATGCCATTTTTGTTACTGTAGCTGTGTACTATAATGTCTGGTACTGTGATGCTTCCTGCTTCATCTTTCTTGCTAAGGATTGCTCTGGCTATTCTGGGCCTCTTATTTTTTTCAAATGAATTTAATGACTGCTTTTTCTATTTCTATGAAGAACATCATTTTGGAATGTTAATAGGAATTGCATTAAATCAGTATAATGCTTTTGGTATTATGGCCATTTTGACAATATTACTTTTGCCTATCCAATAACATAGGAGATCTTACCATCTTCTAAGTTCTTCTTCAATTTCTTTCTTTAGTGTTCTTTTGTCCGATTGATTCCAAAATTTTTAAATATATTTTTGGGGTACAAGGGATTAAACTCAGGAGCACCCAACCACCCAGCCACATCCCCAACCCTATTTTATATTTTATTTAGAGACAGGATCTCACTGAATTGCTTAGCACCTTGCATTTGCTGAGGCTGGCTTTGAACTTGCAATCCTTCTACCTCCGCCTCCTAAGCCATTGGTATTACAGGCATGTGCCACTGAGCCAGGCCCAAATATTTTATTTTTTTGAGGCTATTGTGAATGGGGTAGTTTTCCTAATTTCTTGTTCAGTGGATTCATCACTGATGTATAGAAATATGTTTGATTTATTGATGTTAACTTTATATCCTACTACTTTGCTGAATTCATTTATGAGTTCTAGAAGTTTTCTGGTCGAGTTTTTTTTATCTCTAAATACAGAATCACAGCATTAGCAAATAGTGATAGTTTCAGGGCATCTTTTCTTATTCGTAGCCCTTTAATTTCTTTCTTCTGTCTAACTAATTGCTCTGGCTAGAGTTTCAAGGACAATGTTGCAGAGAAGTGGTGAAAGACAGCATCCCTGTCTTATCCTGTTTTTCGAAGGAATTCTTTCAATTTTTCTGTTTATAATGATATTGGCCTTGGGTTTGGCATAGATAGCTTTTGCAATGTTGAGGTGTGTTCCTACTATCCCTGGTTTTTCTAGTGTTTTAAATGTGAAGAGGAGCTGTATTTTGTCAAATGCTTTTCTGCATCAGTTGAGATGATCATGTGCTTCTTGTCTTTAAGTCTATTGATGTGATTAATTATGTTTGTTGATTTCTAGCTGGACCTGGTGGCGCACACCTGTAATCTCAGTGGCTTGGGAGGCTGAGGTAGAAGGATTGGGAATTCAAAGGTAGCCTCTGCAAAAGCAAGCTGTTAAGCAACTCAGTGAGACCCTGTCTCTAAATAAAATACAAAATATGGCTGGGGATGTGGTAGAGTGGTCAAGTGCCCCTGAGTTCAATCCCCAGTACCAAAAATAAATAAATAAATAAATAAATGCAATAATTTCCATATGTTGAACCAACCTTTCATGTTTGGAATGAACCCCACTTGACCATGGTGCACTACCTTTTCAATATGCTTTTTGTGATTTTCCAGAATTTTATTGAGAATTTTTGTATCTATATTTATCAGGGATATTGGTCTGAAGTTTTCTTTCCTTGATGTGTCTTTGTCAGGTTTTGGTATCAGGGTGATACTAGTCTCATAGAATAAGTTTGGAAAGTTTCCCTCCTTTTCTATTTCATGCAATAATTTGAGAAGTATTGGTGTTAATTCTTTTCTGATGGTCTTGTAGAACTTGACTGAGAATCAGTCTGGTCCTGGGATTTTCTTGGTTGGTAGGCTTTTGATCTTCAATTTCATTGCTTGAAATTTATATGTTTAAATTTTCTGTGTCCTCCTGGTTTAATTTGGGTAGGTCATATGTCTCCAGAAATTTGTCACTGTCTTCAATATTTTGTATTTTATTACAGTATAAATTTTCAAAATAGTTTCTGATTATTGTCTGTACTTCAGTAGTGTCTGTTGTAATATTTTCTTTTCATTATGAATATTAGTAATTTGAGTTTCCTTTCTCTTTATTAGCTTGGCTAAGTGTTTATCAATTTTATTTATTTATTTCAAAGAACCAATTTGTTTCATTGATTTTTTTCTTTCAATTTCATTGGTTTCAAATCTGATTTTAATTATTTCCTGTCTTCTGCTTTTGGTGTTGATTTGTTTTTCTTTTTCTTGGACTTTGAGATATAATGTTAGGTTATTTATTTGATTATTTTATTTGGTTACTCTCTATTATTTTAATGAGCTCAACTTTCCTTGAGGAGTGTGTTTTGAAGGGATATTAAGACCCTGGCCCCTCCACTTTGCTTCCTGGCCATTATGGGAGGTATGAGGTATTCTACCACATACCTCCCACCTTACCACAGGCCCCAAAACAATGGTTTTAAGCAACTATGAAACCTCTGCTATAGTGAATCAAAGTAAATCTTTCCCCCTTTTAACTTGATTATTTCAGAATTTTGTCACTGCAACAGATCTCTAACATATCTAACATATCTAACATATCTAACATATCTTTGTCATACAAAATAGATATCCATAGGTTCTGGGGATTAAGATATGGACATCTTTGGTAGATTATTATTTTGTCCAGCACAGAGAGTATTAGTTATAAATACTTGTCAATCACTTTATAGCAGTGTATTGACATTTCTCATCATTTTATAGCTGTCTAGTACTGGACTGCATAGGTATATCGTAGTTTATTCAATTAGTCCCCTTTTAATGAACATTGGTTTGTTTCAAAATTTTACCTTGAATTCCTCAACAAATAATCTTAAATATTTTATATTTTGGTCCATGTGTTTTTGAGATGGATTTATGTGAATTTGCTATATAGTATTACTTTCCTAGATTAGGGTCTCTATCATTTCGCATTTCCATCAGGTATGTATGGGAGTTTCTCTTTCTTTAAAAACAAAGTATACTGTCAAACTTCTGGATTACTGCTACTCTACCTGATAAGTTATCTGTTTTTATTTGTTTGTTTGCTTGTTTTTTTTTTTGTACTGGAGATTGAAAGGAAAGTGACCACAACACTCAGAGCAACCAAAAGATCTTTATTGCAGCAGTGCAACAGAGGAGAAAAAAGAGAGAAAGGGGTGGTGGCAGGGGAAGGTTTTTATAGCCCTTCTGCTGTGCTGCCTAAATCTAACAGGGTCTCTGGGTTTGCAAGCTGTGTTGTTGGCACAAGAAGGGTTAAGTGTTCAGCCTTGGGGAGAGGGGGGTTGAGTGTTCAGCCTTGAGCAGGGGCTTGGGTGTTTGAGCTTGAAGCAAACAGGTGATAAAGAACCAGATTGAGGGTTTGAGTGGTCAGGTCACCCTGCAGCTAACTTTGTCTGGCATGCCCTGCAGATAATTTAGTTCAGCCTGTCCTGCACCTAACAGAGATTGAACCCAGAGATGCTTTTCCACTGAGCTACAACCGGATCCTTTTCTTTTTTTTCATTTTGAGACACGGGTCTCAACTGTATTGCTGAGGCTGGCCTCAAACTTGAGATCTTCCTCCCTCAGCCTTCAGTCACTGGGACTTATAAGCCCGGGACACTGAGCTCGGCTACTGTTAATTTTCTATCCTGTGAATTTACCAAGTAATCTTTTTGACACTTACTTAATTGAACTACGTGTGTTTTCAGATGTGTAATTACATTGTAAGCACATAAAAGGGCGCTTGAGAGAATCGCTGACGTTGAAAAAGTCAGCAAAACCCATCAAGTTGGCATAAATCTGGGCAGAGGTCCCTTCACTATCTGAAGCATTCATTCAGAAAGGACGTCAGAACATCCTTTTGAGGGACCTGGAATCTCAGTGATGCAGAAACCGAAATAAACTTGAGCGGAGAATGAGAGAATCCCTATCCTCAGATCGGCTCTGCAGGCGCGGATCAGCGCTAGAGTGGAGGTAAGTGGGACAATGGCCGGGTAAAGACAAGGAAGAAGAAAAACCCATTCAAGCCTTTGAGAATACCCAGCCTAGCTCCCAGGAGCGCAAGGGATGAAACCATCGAGTGAAAACCCCTCTCGCCCCTTCCTAGAGCTGCCATGGAAATGCGCCCCACACAGGCAGAGCCAGCCGGCCCTCCACACGCAGCGGCCTTTGTAAGTTTCCATTGGTGGGCTCTGGGTGTCGTAGAGTGTCGAGTACTCAGCCCTTCACTCCCGAGGAGGACGTCCTCTGCTGGTCCCCTGGGGGAGGGGGTGAGCAAACATGTGCTCCTGAAGTAACTGGAGGGGTGTCGGGGTTGGGATAGGGGTATTGTTGCGTTTCCTCAGCGTGGGCGGCTCAAGCTAGGCTCCTGCTGTTGCGCCTCTGCGCGATCCTCCTCTGCCTCGGCGGCCGGCGGCCGGGTGGCGAGCCTATCTAATACAATACCTCAGGGTCGTTCCGCCGGCCCTTGTACAGATCTGAGCCGGGGATGAAGGAGCTGTCCCCGGCAGCTTCGCTGAGCCGGGCTGTACTTTCCGAGTTTGTCTCAAGGCCTCCTGAGGCACTGTGTCCTCGGGTTCGGCGCTTCGCAACATTTCTGGACACTCTTGGGTTACAGACGCTGGTCCGCGGCATAGAACGCTTTTCTGAGTTTACCTTTCCTTAGAATACATAAATCGAGAGTATAAGAAAGCTTTAAAGAGTAATCTCTCCAGCCTTTTCACTTAATAAATGAAGAATGAAGTGCAGAGTAAATCCCGGATGACGTAATATCCTGCGAATGCGCTGCTTTTATGATTTTATGGTTTCCACCAGACATCAGACATTTTAAAATCCTATAAAAACAACTGATCAAGTCGGTTGTGGTGGCTTATGTAATTCCAGCGACTTGGAGGCTGAGGCAAGAGGATCCCAAGTCTGTGGCCTGTCTGGGTAATTTAACGAGACCTTGTTTCAAAAAAGGCAGCTGTGGGGGCCGCCTGGGGTTGTACCAATGGGTAAGGTGACCCTGGGTTCAATCCCTACTTCAGGTAAATAAATAAATAAAGCAAGTAATCAAGTGTATCCCAACTTTAAAAAATAATCTGCTTTTTTGAATGTTAGTTTTATTCCACTTAATTGTCCTTTTAAAAAATGTTTCCTGTCTTACTCCTCCTTTCTTAAAAGTCCTGAAACAACTTGGCAAGTTTCCGGTAGTCTTTCATTTAGTCTATTCCGAAAGATTTTCTATCCAAGCACATATTTCCCTGAGTATAAGTAAATTAACCTGGAAGCAGGCTTTCATGACTCATACTTAAATTTTTAATATTAGCAGTCATTGTGTACTGTAAGTTGTGTTCATAGTGCTGGCTTATTCTTCAGGTCCATTCAGGAAGAACTTTTCCAGGAGAGATCTTACTGATAGAGCTTTTGCACAACTATAATGTCATCTACTTGGAATATCCAGGCCAAAAAGGACCAGGAAGAACTTCTGGAAGTAAAGATAGAGGACCAGGAGGAGGAAGAGAATAAATATACCTCCAGACAGGATGAGAGCCTTCAAAAGAACAACAGAGAGGTCTTTCGACAATACTTCAGGCAGTTCTACTACCAGGAAACATCTGGACCTCGGGAAGCTTTGAGCCGACTCCGGGAGCTTTGCCATCAATGGCTGAGGCCAGAGACTCACACCAAAGAACAGGTCCTGGAGCTGCTGGTGCTGCAGCAGTTCCTGACCATCCTACCTGAGGAACTTCAAGCCTGGTTACAGGAGCAGCATCCAGAAAATGGAGAGGAGGTGGTGAATGTGCTGGAAGATTTAGAGAAAGAGCTAGATGAACCAGGATATCAGGTAAGAAAAAAGATGTGATTTCTGTTTGAGAAAAGGTAAATTGTGCTGGTTGCAGGCAAATACCTGTAAGCCCAGCTATTTGGGAGGCTGAGGCAAGAGGATGACAAATTCAGGCCAAACTGGGCAATATAGCAAGACATGGTCTTAAAATAAAAAAATTAAAAGTTCTGGGGATGTAGTTCATGGTATAGCACCTCTGGATTCAACCCCCAGTACCAAAAAAAAAAAAAATGTGTATTCTAGATCAAAGTGAAGTGTGGCATTGTTTCACAAAGCATCTTGACACTTTGATGCATCAGAAAGGGATATGAGTTTCATGGAAAATTGGTTAATGTCATCTTAGTTTATTTATACCTTTTGTGTAGAGCGTTTTTGTATTTCTGTGTTCTGTACTTAACTAAAAATTTCTATTTGATGAACATACTGCTCAACTTAGAAACAAGACTTCTAATATAGAGAGAGTATTAAAGAGTAGAGGGAGAAGCTGTTAGGTAGCAAGGTAGAAAGCAGCCTCTTGAAAGAGGTGTTCCATACAAAATAAATAAGAAATGTGGTTTAAGCCTGATATATGCATGTGTGGAAATATCATAGTGAATCCACTGATTTGTACAATTAATGTTATTGAATAATTAAAAAACAAAACTTGTAATAATTAAGAAATTGTCATATGGTTTTGTAAATATAGCCACTGCTCTGATTCTCCATTATAAGATGAAAAGATGGAGAAATAAAAATCACCATGCCTGAAGAATGAGATATAGGAGTAGAATGAAAAATTAGAAGAGAAGGGCAGGGTGAGGGATCCTTGTTTCTCTGAGTAGTAAAAGGCCCAATTATGTTGGAAAGGTGAGTTGTGAGTGAAAGAGTTGAGATAATCAAGGATATTAACTATCTGTCTCTAAAGTTAGATTTTCTTCTGTAGGACAGAGGATAGGCTCTAAACCTTTTCTCCTTGAGTCTAAGTGAGATTTATTACTAAAAAAATAATTTAAAAAAAAGAGATAAAAGAGAACCAAATTATTTAGATCCTATTTGTTTTGAGACAAGTTCTCACTAAGTTGCTGAGGCTGACCTTGAATTTGTAGTCCTCCTGCCTCAGTCTCCAGAGTGGTTTTTATTTTCTTTTAATGATGATATAAGACTGTGATTCTCAACCAGTGGGTAATTTTATGCTCCAGAGGGTATTTGGTAATATCTTGGGAAATTTTTGGTTGTCATAACCTGTCACTAAGTTCCTGGGGCTAGCCTTGAAATTGCAATCTTCCTGCCTCAGCCTCGTAAGTAATTGGGCTTACAGGTTGTGGGCACACAGCAGGTAGGGGGCAGGGAACACACAGGAAAACCCCAGACAACAATGAATTATGAGACCCGCATGTCAACAGAGCAAAAGTTATGAAACCTTAGAATAAAAAGTGTGAAATAGATAATAAAACAAGTGTAACTTAGCATTAGGGTATAAAGTAGAGAGGGAAGGAATATGTGGCAGAAAGAGAGAAATTTGAATAGCATCATGAAAATGTGACTAGAAAGGATGAGGCATGTCTTATGTAAGAATTTAATGGAAATGATGACAGATAAGATTTATAAAGAAGGAAGAGACAATGGACAGCTCTTTACTGAGTAGTCTGTTCTAGGCTCAGCACTAGGAATTTGAAGTTTGAAAGAGTAATGTGATGAAGACACTCTGAGAGTTAAAAGACTAAAAGAGATCATTCAGCAGGTATTTACTAAATACCTTTTGGTAGTATGTACTGTTTTAGACATTGGGAATATAGCAGTGAACAAAGCACAGAAGATTGCTGCTCTTATGTAAATTCTAGTATTACAGAGAAACATATAAAAATCAATAAAAATGTTAGGTGGTGATAAGTTCTTTTAAAAACAACAAAAATAAAGCAGAGAAAAGGAATAGTGAAGGAAATGAGGATTGCCATTTTTAATAAATGGGTTAGGAAAGGTTTTCAGGTAAGTGGACATTTTTATAGCAGACATTTAGTGCATTCAGGCAGTGGAAATAGTACATGGATATGTCTTTTTTTTTTTTTTTCAAACTACTGGGGATTGACCCAAGGACACTTAACACTGAACTAAGTCCCTAGTCCTTATTTATTTTGAGACAGGGTTTTGCTAAGTTGCTTAGGATCTTGCTAAGTTGCTGAGGCTGGCCTTGAACTTGTGATCCTCCTGCTTCAGCCTCCTGAGATGCAGGGATAACAGGCATGAACCACCACTCCTGGACACATGGATAAGTCTTAAGGTATGCTTGTCATGGTAGAGATAGGCTTTGCTGGGGGATAGTTGAAAAATACTTACAAGGAAATTATATCATGTAGTGACTTGTAGACCATTATAAAGACTGGATTTTATTCAGAGATGGCACATTATTGGAGGGTTTTGAGCAGAAAAGAGATACAGTTTGACTTAAACTTTAAAATAATCACTCTGGCTGCTATATGGAGAAAGTTCTGTGGTGGGGGTGGAAAGATATAGGTCAAAGGTAGAATTACAGAAACCATTTTAGGAGGATAAAGGTATAGTCATAATCTAGGCAAGAGATATTGGTGAAACGAACTAGGATAGTAGAGTGGAAGTGATAAGATGTGATTGGATTCTAGATATATTTTTAAAAGTAGACTTTGACAGAATTTGTTTTACTGTAGGATTTAGAATGTAAGAGTAAGTTAAGAATTATGCCAGAGATACTGTTGTTGTTTATCTGAAAAGGAAGGATACAGAGATGAACAGAGATTACGAAGGCTGAGAGAGAAGTAGATTTGAAGTTAAAGGACAAATCCAGAGTTCATTTCTGGACATGTTAATTTTGAAATTCCTATTCAAATTCAAGTGGAAAAGTTGAGCAAGCAATTGAATAAAACAAGTTGGAATTCAGTGCAGGGGTCTGTGCTAGAAAAACAATTGGAACTTCTCAAAATGTGGGTGGTATATAAAGACATAAGATAGAGCCAGGCATGGTGGTACATACTATAATCCCAGTGACTTGGAAGACTGACACAGAAGGATTACAAGTTCAAGACCAGTTTCAACAACTTAGTGAGAGCCTGCCTCAAAATAAAAAATTAAAAGGGCTATCAATGTAGCTCAGTGGTTTATCACTTCTGGATTTAATCTCTAGTACCAAAAACTTAAAATAAAAAATAAAAAGGCTGGGGATGTAGTTCAGTGGTAGAGCACTTCTGGGTTCAATCCCTAATACTATAAAAAGCAAACAAACACAAAACTCTGAAAGCATTCCTGGGACAGCTAACGAAGACCTACCAAGAGACCCAGGGGTAGAAGGCACAGCTCACCATATTAGCCTTCCCCTACTTCCCTTTCTCAAAATTTGAAGTATCAGAATATCTTTTGCTGTACATCTGAGGTAGCATTCTGCTAACTCTGGCTCCTATTCTGAAGACAAGTTACAAAATGAAACTAGGACAGTGAAATAGAAGCAGTATAGGTGATTTTTTGCATGTAATTAATTTAAACATTGAAAAGAATGGAGCAGTAATTTGATGGCCTGTGGTATGCTAAGGTCTTGTACTAAGTGCTTTATATACATGGTGGTGTATAATCTCAGAGAAAGTAAATAACTAGGCCAAGATCACAGAACTAATAAACTAAGAAACAGAATACTGATTGCAAATCCCTGCTTTTCATAGTATCATGCTAGGGAAAACTATTATTGTGATATTCAAGAGGGAAATGGGACCATGGAGAAATGGGAGCCCCAGAGAGGCTGAAATTGCTAAAGTAGTGTTAATTGGAGGAACAAAGGTTAGAGGGAAGCAGAAAGAGCAAAAGTAGAGATGTGAGTGTTGAAAACAGAAGATATTTTTCTCAAAATAGAAAAGAAAAAGAAATGTATGAGGGTAGAGATAAACATGTAAAGGATAGTGCTGGGGGCATAGTTCAGTGGTAGAATGCCTGCCTAGAATACACAAGCCCCTGGGTTTAATCCCCAGCACTGGAGTGGTGGTGGTACTGCAACGGATATGAAAGATAGATGATTTTGAGATAATTGTGATCTTGGATAAATAAAAGATAAGGTAATCTTCTTTGAGAGAAATGGAAAGGAACCTCAAAAGGACAAATACCACTGGGAATAGCTTCTATAATTAATATGAAAGAGATTTCTTACATTTCTCCTTCCTTCCTTTACTTTCTTTTATCCCTTTTTTCTTCCCCTCCTTTTTCTTCCTCCTCCTTTCTCTTCTCCTTTTCTTTTTTCTTCCTTTCTTTTTCTTTTTGGTGAGGATTTTGCTATGTTGTCCAGGCTGGCCTCCAAGTGATCCTCCAACCTTAGCCTCTCAAGTAGTTGAGAATACAGGCTCCTACAACTCTACCTGGTACTGCCTTTCTTTTTAAATAATTTCTCCTCATTACTCCCTTTATTATTCCCCTTTCCTTTATGTTTCATTTTATTTTCTCCTAAGTTCTGTCTTTTTCCCTCTTTGCTGCCTCTTTCTTCTCTCCTTTGTTTTTTTCTTTTTCTCCCTTCTTTTTTGGGCACAAAAAAAGCAGTAAAAGTGGTACAACCAACAATATTTAGCAGTTAGTAATATGGGAAATTACTCTAGTCCGAAAAGGACGGTTATGAAGAGGAGGTGATATTTACATTGGCATTGAAGAATGGATATAATTATGGCAAACTGCTATCTGGGAAAAAGGTCATTTCATTTCAGTTTTCAGCAAGCTAGGTGCCACTGCTAAGAACAGTATGCTCTTTTATTTTCTGCATTTATCTATATCTCATTTCCTCAGGTTGCAGGAACAGAAGAACCCAGTGTGTCCCTCCAGTCTATGAAAACCCAGTGTGAATCTCCAGAACTTGAAGCTCAAGAGAAGCAAGGTAATAAAGGAAGACCCATTTTGAGAGAAGAGGGAAGGGAGGGTTAACACAGAGTATTTGGGCTCTTTTGTATTTAATACTGTTTCTGATCAGAAAATTCCTCCAGGAATCTGATGCTCATGGATAGACTCTCAGCCAGGTTTCTCATTCTTCAATTTTCTTTCCTAAATTCCAACTGTATTTTATTTGAGATGACTTAACTTAGACTTTCTGATAGTTACCTTCCTTTATATTGATTTCTCTGCTCTTTCTAGGCTTGGTTCTACTAAGCAATACCACTCTCTTCCACTTGGACTGTATCCTTCCTTCTTTAGTAGATAAGCCTTTGCTGCATGATGTCTACAACTAATTCTCACATGATTCAAGAAAAAAATGTGTACCCATTAAGAGAAGGAATAATAAAGCAAATGTGACAAAATGGTAAAGGTTGGTGAGTGGATGAAAAATCCTTTTACCATCTTTATTTTTTCTTTCTCTGTATTCTTTCTTTTTCACTTAATTTTTTTTTTAGTTGTAGAGGGACAGAATGCCTTTATTTATTTGTTAATTTTTATGTGATGATGAGGATCGAACCCAGTGCCTCACACATGCTAGGCAAGTGCTTTGCCACTGAGTTACAGCCCCAGCCCGTCACTTAATTTTTTTAAATAGGTAAAAATTTTTAAATAGGTAAAAATAGCTTAAAAACAAAGATATAAAAAAAATTATCCACTGATGTTCAGTTTCCCTAATCATCTAGTTTCCTCTCCCAACTCTGAAATAAATTGTCACTGTTATTAGTTTCTTGTTTATATTATATATATTTTTCATATTGAAACAAATATTGTTTCCTCTCTTTATCACTAAGATATTAGACTCCTACATTTTTAATTTTTTGTACCAGGGATTGAACTCAGGGTTTCTTGCCACTGAGCCACATCCCCAGCCCTATTTTTGTATTTTATTTAAAGGCAGGGTCTCACTGCATTGCTTAGTGCCTTGCCATTGCTGAGGCTGGCTTTGAATTAGCAATCCTCCTGTCTCAGCCTCCCAATCCACTGGGATTACAGGCGTGTGCCACCATCCTGGCTTTTTTTTTTATTATTATAAGGAAAAAAACACAATTAAATTAGCCAGTCTCCTACTGGCGACATTTGTGTCTAGTGTCTCACAACAGCAAACAGTGCTGCAATAAATAACTATGTGTACATCTGTAGTATAAATTACTATTATGTGGAAACACTATGTCAAAAATTGTAACTGTAGGCCTAGGGTGTAGCTCAGTGGTAGAGCCCTTGCCTAGCATGTGTGAGGTACTGGGTTTGATCCTCACCACCACATAAAAATAAATAAATAAAATAAAGATAGTGTGTCCATCTACAACTAAAAAGAATAAAAATAAAAAAATAAAAACTAATGCTGCCTTAGCCCATGCCTGTAATCCCAGTGTCTTGGAAGTCTGAGACAGGAGGATCACGAGTTCAAAGCCAGCCTCAGCAAAAGCGAGGTGCTAAGCAACTCTATGAGACCCTATCTCTAAATAAAATAAAAAATAGAGCTGGGGATGTTTCAATGGTCAAGTACCCCTGAGTTCAATCCCAGATACCCCCACACCCCAAAAATTGTAACTGTTGTAATTTTGATGGATATTATGAAATTATCCTCCTAAAAGGTTTGTATCAACTTATGCTCCTGACTATATGTGATTTCCACTTTGTTAGCACAGTATTAAACCAAACTGATTAGTCAAATATGATAGGTGAAAAAATATATCTCAGTATTAAATTTACTTTTCTTTGATGATGAAGTAGAACATCTTTTCTTATGTTTATGAGTTATTATATTTTCTTTCTTGGAAACCATCAGTTTTCCTTTTGCCTTGTTTTCTAATGGATTATTGATTTCTTTCATAAAAATGTGTGGAGTGCTTTATATATTCGACCCTTTCTGTGTGTGTGTGTGTGCAAGTGTGTGTGTGGTACTAGAGATTGAACTCAGGGCCTTATGTATGCTAGGCAAGTGCTCCCCCAGTGAGCTACCCTAGCCCCCTTTCTATTTTCTAATGCCATTTTATAGTCATGCACAAACTCTAGGTTCTTGAGTGTTTTTCATATGAATAATTTAATGTTGTCTAACGAAGTTATTGTTTACTATCACTGTTACTATTTACTATCACTATTTCTATCAATATTACTATTTATTATCCTTTTTTTAGTTTCAGATATTAAGACTGAAAATGAGTACAGGAATTTAACTCCAAAACAAAAAGTTCCTGAAGGAATGAAACCATGTGGGAATGTGTCTAGCAGATTTGAAAATGATATAAACCAGTCTGCTAAGTGTGGAGAAACTCAAAATTCAGAAGAATCTTCTGGATGCTCCAGGGAACATAAACAACCTATATGTGATGAAAATGGAGTGAGTTCTACTGAGAACTCAGATCATGCTGAAAAGAGAACCTGTCCAGGAGAAAAATCTTATGAATATAATGACTGTAGAAAAACTTTTAATCAGCAGTCTTGCCTCATAGAACATAAGAGAATTCATGCTGGTGACAGGCCCTACAAGTGTGAGGAATGTGGAAAAACCTTTCGTGGGAGAACTGTACTTATTCGACACAAAATAATACACACTGGAGAGAAACCATATAAGTGTAATGAGTGTGGCAGAGCCTTTGGACAGTGGTCAGCTCTTAATCAACATCAGAGACTTCACTCTGGAGAAAAACACTGTCACTGTAATGAATGTGGCAAAGCTTTTAGCCAGAAAGCAGGCCTCTTTCACCATCTCAAGAGTCACACAAGAGACAAACCTTATCAGTGTCCTCAGTGTAATAAAAGTTTTAGTCGACGTTCCATACTCATTCAGCATCAAGGAGTTCACACTGGTGCGAAGCCCTATGAGTGCAATGAGTGTGGAAAAGCTTTTGTTTATAACTCATCCCTTGTTTCCCATCAGGAGATCCACCACAAAGAAAAATGCTATCAGTGCAAAGAATGTGGGAAATCCTTCAGTCAGAGTGGCCTTATTCAACATCAGAGAATCCACATTGGGGAGAAGCCATACAAGTGTGATGTATGTGAAAAAGCCTTTATTCAAAGGACAAGTCTTATAAAGCATCAGTGAATTCACACTGGAGAAAGACCCTATAAATGTGATAAATGTGGGAAGGCTTTTACTCAAAGATCAGTCCTCATGGAACTCAGAGAATCCACACTGGAGAGAGGCCCTATAAGTGTGATGAATGTGGAAATACCTTCCGAGGAATCACCAGCCTCATTCAACATTAGAGAATCCACACCGGGGAGAAACCCTACCAATGTGATGAGTGTGGCAAATCCTTCAGGCAGAGTTCAGATCTTAGTAAACACCAGAGAATCCATAATAGAGGTGGTCTCTGTAAATGTAAAGAGTGTGGGGAATCATTCAGTCAGAACTCAGCTCTTACACAACATCAGACTATCCATAAAAGAGGAAAATCTGTTTCTTTGTGATGGCTGCAGAGAAGCCATCTCACAAAGTGCAGGCTGGTGAGAAATACCAGCTTTTGTAATGATTTGGGGCAAAACTTCAATTACTGTTGGTATAAGAAAACCTCAGATATTTATTGAGAACCCACTGTGTGCTGCTCTTTATATTAGGTACTATGGAGAACAAGAAGCACAACAGCAGATTCCTTTTTTCTGAAAGTTTACAACACAGTTTGGGATATGTAAACCCCACATATTGAATTAAATGAGACTACAGAGTCATATATTTCATGCTCAACATAGTTTAGAGTTAAAGTACTACTTGGTAAGTGCTCTAAATTATGAAGGACAGATTACTTCTGCCTAGACTACTCAGGAAAGAATTTATTGAAAATGAGGGTGTAGTGGGCAGATATGGAAGGCAAAAGGGAGAAAATATTTAGGCAAAACAGATAAAAGCAGAGGTAAATGTGCATGTGGTTTGGAAGCATCAATGATGAGACTAGCCAATCTAAGAGAGTTCATTAAACTTGGGCAGTTGATGGCATTAAATTGGAAACAACTTGGGAATAGACTGGCAGGGCTAAAATATCAATAATTTCATATAATAGCTCTATGCTTTGACACAGAGCACTTTTCTCAATTCCATAAGCACCTCTTTAAATCAGTTATTCTTCATTTTAAAAATGAGTATCCTCTTCCTAAGAGAGATAGTGACATAGTTATAATAAAGAAAAGATCAACAGCTTAAATTACTGCTTTCTGACTGCTAGTCCTGTCCATTATTACTAGTGAATCACTGAATTTGATTAACATCAGAATCACTTGTGCAGTTTATTTTAAATGACTGGGGTATAGCTCATGGTAGAGTGCTTGCTTAGCATGAGTGAGGCCGTGGGTTTGATCCCCGGCATTGGGTGAAAAAATATCATGGCTCTGAAGTTTTAAGTGGGCATGGTGACATATGCTTATAGTCCTAGCTATTAGGAAGGCTGAGGTAGCAGAATCGCTTAAGCTCAGGAGTTGGACCACCAGTCTGGGCAATATAGCAAGACCTCATCTCAAAATAATAAATACTACTTTAAAAAATAATAAAATGTGTTGAGTCCTACTCACAGATATTGTACTTCATTAGGTCTAGGATAGGAATTGCATATCTTCATTTTATAGCTCTACAGTCACCTGACCTATTCTAAATTGGGAAAGTTTGCCTTAAATCACTACTGTACCTTCATGGTTGCCTATGAAGTGAAAAAACCTGAATATAGTCTTTTAGAGGGTCACTGATTTTTAGCATAAGGAAATTCTTACAGGGGACAATGGCCACCAGCTTTTTAGAATGAACAGGAAATTAGACTACTGTCATGCCTCCAAAGTAGTTTCAAGATGGCTTTTCCATCCCTTTGAAAGTAAATGTTTCCAAAAAAGAGACCTACATTCTAAGGCTCTCAAGGGTCTTCTGAGTGCAAGGCCTTGTTTGTTTTACTACTTACAGAGGTATACCGGTATTCTCTTTTACTTTTAAATCTTCCTTTGTTTCCCAGTTCTGTCAGTATCATTATGTTCTGAATTCTTGAGAACTTGTTATGATTTTATGTTTTTTATCCCTTTTTGAGGCCCAACGATAAGTGATAATGATATTAATATAATATATTAATATTAATATAATTAATGATATTAATATAACTATAATTTAGGCATATATTAAATTGGCTTTGGGGATTGGAATATATGTGACTATTTCTGAAAAGCATTACTCAACTAACAACAGAAAAGCAGATGAACTGTTGAAAAACAACTCATTTGTAAGTTGAGACAGCTTATTTAGGCTTTTTCAACACCAATATTAGAGCTGTACATGTAAGGCAGAGGCAACCAAGATTAGAAACTGTTTTTCTCTTCTAGGGAACAAACAAGAATCCCAGATTGAGTCAGAGAGTTGTGTAGCTATAAGTTTGTGAAGCTTATTCCCTATATAAGCTTCCCTGCCTCCTCTTTCTTACTCTTATGTCACTCTTCTTGTTGGAGGGGACTTTACTTATTGATGAGGACCTTTATGAATATGTCCTCCTTACCATGATTATGTTGTCCATATTCCTTATCTAATCTGATTTCACAGATTTGTTATCCAAACTAAAATTACTCTTCACTGCAACTTCATAGGCTTTCTCTTTAAGCTGACTGTTCACTGAAATGTAAATGTTATTTTAAACTTGCTTCCTAGTCCTCTCAATACTTTTATTTGGCAATCTTCCAGCTCATTTTCAGCTTAACATGTACTGTCTATACACAAAAGTTCCTCTATTTGCCTTTCTGCGCACTAGAGCTCTTAAACACCTAATATAAAGGGACCATAAAGACCCAGAATAATAGAATGTGCCTATTATATAGAAAGATACTGTTCATAACTTGATTGATAATGTGGGCTTTTTGTTCTAGTTGTTTCTTGTGCAATCAGAGTATCCAAAAAAAGGATAAAGGGTATGAAATTTTCAGGTAGGCATCAAAAGGGATAAAATTAGTTATTCAGGATAATATAATGGAATTATTAATTACTATTTGGAGCTAAATTGGTGACATGGAAGGCCCTGAGAGCCAAATGGAAGACATGCCATGTTAGATGTGGAAATGGGGTGCCCCATTGGGTAATGCAGTGAGCAGAGAATGCCTTTTGATGATCAAGAATACATCTTAATGGCTGGGCACAGTGGCGCACATCTGTAATCCCAGTGGCTGGGGAGGCTGAGGCAGGAGGATTGTGAGTTCAAAGCTAGCCTTAGCAAAAGTGAGACGCTAAGCAATTCAGTGAGACTGTCTCTAAATAAAATACAAAATAGGGCTGGGGATGTGGCTCAGTGGTTGAGTGCCCCTGAGTGCAATTCCTGGTACCCCTCTCCACCTCCCCAAAAGAATACATCTTAATGGATATGAGATAGATGTGTTGTGACAATGACAGGATCTAGGAAATCAAAGACCTTTGAAACATCTTATTATCTATATATGCTATGAGATAATCAATAATACTAGGAGGCAGGAAGGAAAGGAAGAATGTGAAATGAAACAGGTCCAAGGTTAGATGTAATGGCAGTTAATAGTAGTAGCACAACAACCAGGTAGTAAAGTAACTGGTGTAAAACTTAAATGATGAATCATGAAAGCAGTGGTTTATAATAAGGATAAAATTGACTTTCTTTTCTAATTGATTTGAAGTAGATTGATTCAGGTGTTAAAGGTAGAAAGCACCTGGAGAAGTTGGGAAAGCCAGGTTTCCAGAGCAATAAAAAGTGAAGTTAAAAATGGACTGTGGGGGCTGGGGTTGTGCTCAGAGATAGAGCACTCGCCTAGCATGTGTGAGGCACTGGGTTCAATCCTCAGCACCATATAAATAAATTGTGTCCACCTATAACTTAAAAATAAATATTAAAAAAAAATGACTGTGGATGACACAATAACCTAACAATTAGGTAGCGGAAAGGGATTGAAAAGGGAAGAAGAATGCTTCTCAAAAAATAATTGTATAAAGAGGTTTCTGGAATTTGAAATATGAGATAAAACTAATGAAGGAGAGTGGGAATGAGCAGGACTCTGAACTGAGAAGTCTCAACTGTGTGGTGAGGACACGTAGAGAGCACTGTATGATATAAGAGCTTAAAAAAGTTCTGCACTCCTGTTCTCAGTTTAGAAGTTGCCTCTTTGGCTAGTATCAGTAGGTAGCGTTATTATAGGCAAAACAAAGTTTAATTATTGGCTATCTTCTGGAATTGAAAAAAAGGATTTATTAACAATAATACAGGGAGGATCCAACATGGCAGCAGGCACGGAGAGATCAAGTCTCTGACCTCTTCAGCTGTGCGGGCATACGGAGTCGTAAACCGTCTAAATGCTGTTTGCTCAGGATCACTAGGCAATGCTAAGCTGATGTGGATCTGGGGCGAACAGTCTGGGCATCTCAGAACACACACCAAGCCCGTATTGGCTGAATTCAAGCTCCCGTTCGCCTGCGTCTCGCAGACAAACCGCTGTGACTCAGCACTAAACGATCCCACTGAAACAATTGATTGGCCCTTCTGAACCTGCGGAGGTTAATACCAACCGAGCCTTCATAGGTAGTGGCCACAGGATTGAGACAGGGCTTGGGAGAGCTGGTTAGGACCCACCCGTTGCATCGGTCACCCGGCAAAGGGAACGAACTGTCGCCATTTGCATGGGATACCACCATGGCAGAGAACTGACGTCACTAGAATGCGGTGGAGGAGATAACTTCATTGAAACTGGCAGCGACAGGTGTGTAACCCCCCAGCCCTTCCTCTTCACACAGAGGGGAAACCTTAAGGGCCCCTCCCAGCTCTCCCGTGAGTGCAATAGTCAAACCAAGGGAATCAGGAGTGGCGCGGGACCTGCGGCGTGGAACCCCCGGCTACCGCTCCCACCAGTACTGACAACTGAGGTCTCTTGCACCAGCTACTGGAGGCGTGGCTACCGGAGGGCAAGCAAAATTCGCTGAGGGTTCTCAGCCCCAAGCTCCACAAACTTAGGGTCTGAGGGAATGGCAAACAGGGAGAGTGTGCCCAGTCCTTCAAGAAAATAGGGCTCCTGGGCGCAGCAGACCTGGCGTGTAGCCAGTATTGTGGTGAGCATCACCTGTGAGCGGGGCCTGGCTTGAGGAAAAGTGGGGAAGTGACTAGACACAAGAGAAGGCCCTAGGCACTCAGGATTGGAGAACTGCTCGGTCTGGGAGGAGGAACTGCTGCACAGTGATTGGTTCCCGTGTATTGAGAGGAGAAGCTTGGCCCGGTGGGCACAGCTCCACCTACTGGAAGAGAAGTTAATCAAACTCTAAGACTGCATTTATTAAATTTTTTTTATTTGGGTTTTTTTTTTCATTTTCATTTTTAAATTTTTTTAAATATTTTTTTATTATTTTTTTAACTTTATTTTTTATTTTTTTGATTTTTTTTAAATTTTTTTTTCTTTTTTTCTTTTCTATTTTTTCTTTTGTCTTTTCATTTCTTTTCAATTTCCTTATTCCCCCTTCCTTGAATTCTACCTGCTTACTCTCATTCTCTTTAGTGACTTCTTCCCTTCCCTTCTAATACGTTTCCTCCCAAGCATCAAATAAATTTATAGGAGTAAACAGTTACTCAGCAGTCAAACAGAACAAGAAGTAACATGAGCAGCATGAAAAAGCAAGGAAGAAAAGGAGTACAAACAATTCAGGACAGCCTAAATATTCAGGAGGACCTGGAGGCATCAGAAAAATGGCCAAATAAAGAACTCAAGGAATACCTTAGACAGATGGAATGGAATCTTAAAGAAGATATGAGACAGCAAATTCAAACAGTGAATGAACACATTGAAAATAAATTACATAAACAGATAAAATAAGCAAATAAGCATCTTTATCAGGAGATAGAGATTATTAAAAAAATCAACCAATAATTCTAGAAATGAAGGAAACTATAAACCAAATTAAAAACTCAAATGAGAGTATCACTAACAGAGTGGAGCAAGTAGAAGCCAGAACATCAGATAATGAAGACAAAATATATCATCTTGAAAAGAGTCTAGCCAACTCAGAAAGGCTGGTAAAAAAATCAGGAGAAAAACATCCAAGAGATATGGGATAACATAAAAAAACCAAACTTAAGAGTCATCGAGATAGAGGAAGGTATAGAGGTTCAAACCAAGGGAATGTGCAACCTGCTAAATTAAATAATTATAGAAAACTTTCCAGAAATAAAAAAAGGAAATGGATATACAAATTGTCAATGCATACAGGACACCAAGCATACAAAATCACAGTAGACCAATGCCAAGACACATTGTTATGAAGATATCCAATATACAGAACAAAGAGAAAATATTAAAAGCTACAAGAGAAAGGAGGCAGATTACATTCAGGGGTAAACCAATAAGGTTAACAACGGATTTTTCATCACAGACTCTGAAAGCGAGAAGATACTGGAACAACGTACTTCAAACAATGAAAGACAATGGATGCCAACCAAGAATTTTGTATCCAGCAAAATTAAGCTTCAGGTATGACAACAAAATAAAAATCTTTCATGATAAACAAAAGTTAAAAGAATTTGCAGCCAGAAAACCAGCACTGCAAAGCATCTTGAGCAAAACACTACACGAGGAAGAAATGAAAAACAATAACCAAAACCAACAGTGGGAAGTACCTCAGTAAAGACAGAGGGTGGGGGGAAAGCTAATCATGGAGAAACAAACTAAATTAAAAAAAAAAAGATAAATAATCAAACATGGCTGGAAGTACAAACCATATATCAATAGTAACTCTAAATGTTAATGGCTTAAACTCTCCAATAAAGCGACATAGGCTGGTAACATGGATTAAAAAAACAAATTCAACAATATGCTGCCTCCAGGAGACACATCTGATTGGAAAAGACATACACAGGCTGAAGGTGAAAGGTTGGGAAAAAATATACCACGCACACGGTCCTCGTAAGCAAGCAGGGGTGGCCATCCTCATATTGAATAAAATCGACTTCAAGACTAAGTTAACCAAAAGGGATAAGGAAGGACATTATATACTGTTAAAAGGAACCATTCACCAACAAGACATAACAATTATCAATATTTATGCACCAAATAATGGTGCTGCGACGTTCATAAAACAAACTCTCCTCAAGTTCAAGAATCAAATAGACCACAACACAATAATTATGGGTGACTTCAACACAGCTCTCTCACCATTGGACAGATCCTCCAAACAAAAGTTGAATAAAGAAACTATAGAACTCAATATCACAATCAATAACCTAGACTTAACTGACATATATAGAATATATCAACCATCATCAAGTGGATATACTTTTTTCTCAGTAGTACATGGATCCTTCTCAAAAATAGACCATATATTATGCCATAGGGCAACACTCAGTAAATATAAAGGGGTGGAGATAATACCATGCATTTTATCTGATCATAATGGAATGAAACTGGAAATCAATGATAAAAGCAGGAAGGAAAAATCCTACATCACATGGAAAATGAACAATATGTTACTGAATGATCAGTGGGTTACAGAAGACATAAAGGAGGAAATCAAAAATTTCTTAGAGATAAATGAAAATACAGACACAACATACCGGAATCTATGGGACACAATGAAAGCAGTTTTAAGAGGGAAATTCATCGCCTGTAGGTAATTTCTCAAAAAAAAAAAAAAAAAAAAAAAAACCAACAAATAAATGAGCTCACACTTCATCTCAAAGCCCTAGAAAAGGAAGAGCAAAACAACAGCAAATGTAGCAGAAGGCAAGAAATAATTAAAATCAGAGCGGAAATCAACGAAATTGAAACAAAAGAAACTATGGAAAAAATTGACAAAACTAAAAGTTGGTTCTTTGAAAAAATAAATAAGATCGACAGACCCTTAGCCATGCTAACGAAGAGAAGAAGAGAGAGAACTCAAATTACTAACATACGGGATGAAAAAGGCAATATCACAACAGATGCTACAGAAATACAGAAGACAATTAGAAATTATTTTGAAAACCTATATTCCAATAAAATAGAAGATAGTGAAGACATCGATAAATTTCTTAAGTCATATGATTTGCCCAGACTGAGTCAGGAGGATACACACAATTTGAACAGACCAATATCAATGGATGAAATAGAAGAAGCAATCAAAAGAATAACAACCAAGAAAAGCCCAGGACCGGATGGGTATACAGCGGAGTTTTACAAAACCTTTAAAGAAGAATTAATACCAAAACTTTTCAAGTTATTTCAGGAAATAGAAAAAGAGGGAGCTCTTACAAATTCATTCTATGAGGCCAACATCACCCTGATTCCGAAACCAGACAAAGACACCTCAAAGAAAACTGCAGACCAATATCTCTAATGAACCTAGATGCAAAAATCCTCAATAAAATTCTGGAGAATTGGATACAAAAACATATCAAAAAAATTGTGCACCATGATCAAGTAGGATTCATCCCTGGGATGCAAGGATGGTTCAATATACGGAAATCAATAAATGTTAGTCACCACATCAATAGACTCAAAGATAAGAACCATATGATCATCTCGATAGACGCAGAAAAAGCATTCGACAAAGTACAGCATCCCTTTATGTTCAAAACATTAGAAAAACTAGGGATAACAGGAACTTACCTCAACATTGTAAAAGCTATCTATGCTAAGCCTCAGGCTAGCATCATTCTGAATGGAGAAAAATTGAAGGCATTCCCTCTAAAATCTGGAACAAGACAGGGATGCCCTCTATCACCACTTCTATTCAATATAGTTCTCAAAACACTGGCCAGAGCAATTGGATGAAAGAAATTAAAGGCATAAAAATAGGAAAAGAAGAACTTAAATTATCACTATTTGCAGGTGACATGATTCTATACCTAGAAGACCCAAAAGGGTCTACAAAGAAACTACTAGAACTAATAAATGAATTTAGCAAAGTGGCAGGATATAAAATCAACACGCATAAATCAAAGGCATTTCTGTATATCAGCGACAAAACTTCTGAAACGGACATGAGGAAAAACACCCCATTCACAATATCCTCAAAAAAAAAATAAAATACTTGGGAATCAACCTAACAAAAGAGGTGAAAGATTTATACAATGAAAACTACAGAACCCTAAAGAGAGAAATAGAAGAAGATCCTAGAAGATGGAAAAATATACCCTGTTCATGGATAGGCAGAACTAACATCATCAAAATGGCAATATTACCAAAAGTTCTCTATAGGTTTAATGCAATGCCAATCAAAATCCCAACGGCATTTCTTGTAGAAATAGAGAAAGCAATCATGAAATTCATATGGAAAAATAAAAGACCCAGAATAGCAAAAGCAACTCTAAGCAGGAAGTGTGAATCAGGCGGTATAGCGATACCAGATTTCAAACTATACTACAGAGCAACAGTAACAAAAACAGCATGGTACTGGTACCAAAACAGGCGGGTGGACCAATGGTACAGAATAGAGGACACAGAGACTAATCCACAAAGTTACAACTATCTTATATTTGATAAAGGGGCTAAAAGCATGCAATGGAGGAAGGATAGCATCTTCAACAAATGGTGCTGGGAAAACTGGAAATCCATATGCAACAAAATGAAACTGAATCCCCTTCTCTCGCCATGCACAAAAGTTAACTCAAAATGGATCAAGGAGCTTGATATCAAATCAGAGACTCTGCGTCTGATAGAAGAAAAAGTTGGCTCCGATCTACATATTGTGGGGTCGGGCTCCAAATTCCATAATAGGACACCCATAGCACAAGAGTTAATAACAAGAATCAACAAATGGGACTCAATTAAACTAAAAAGTTTTTTCTCAGCAAGAGAATAAGAGAGGTAAATAGGGAGCCTACATCATGGGAACAAATTTTTACTCCTCACACTTCAGATAGAGCCCTAATATCCAGAGTATACAAAGAACTCAAAACATTAAACAATAAGAAAACAAATAACCCAATCAACAAATGGGCCAAGGACCTGAACAGACACTTCTCAGAGGAGGACATACAATCAATCAACAAGTACATGGAAAAATGCTCACCATCTCTAGCAGTGAGAGAAATGCAAATCAAAACCACCCTAAGATACCATCTCACTCCAGTAAGATTGGCAGCCATTATGAAATCAAACAACAAGTGCTGGCGAGGATGTGGGGAAAAGGGTACACTTGTACATTGCTGGTGGGACTGCAAATTGGTGTGGCCAATTTGGAAAGCAGTACGGAGATTCCTGGCAAAGCTGGGAATGGAACCACCATTTGACCCAGCTATTGCCCTTCTCGGACTATTCCCTGAAGACCTTAAAAGAGCGTACTACAGGGATACTGCCACATCGATGTTCATAGCAGCACAATTTACAATAGCTAGACTGTGGAACCAACCCAGATGCCCTTCAATAGATGAATGGATAAAAAAATGTGGCATTTATACACAATGGAGTATTACTCTGCACTAAAAAATGACAAAATCATGGAATTTGCAGGGAAAAGGATGGCATTAGAGCAGATTATGCTAAGTGAAGCTAGCCAATCCCTAAAAAACAAATGTCTTCTTTGATATAATGAGAGCAACTAAGAACAGAGCAGGGAGGAAGAGCAGGAGGAACAGATTAACATTAAACAGAGACATGAGGTGGCAGGGAAAGGGAGAGAAAAGGGAAATTGCATGGAAATGGAAGGAGACCCTCATTGTTATACAAAATTACATGTAAGACGTTGTGAGGGGAATGGGAAAAAAACAAGGAGAGAAATGAATTACAGTAGATGGGGTAGAGAGAGAAGATGGGAGGGGAGGGGAGGGGGGATAGTAGAGGATAGGAAAGGTAGCAGTATACAACAGTTACTAATATGGCATTATGTAAAAATGTGGATGTGTAACCGATGTGATTCTGCAATCTGTATTTGGGGTAAAAATGGGAGTTCATAACCCACTTGAATCTAATGTATGAAATATGATATGTCAAGAGCTTTGTAATGTTTTGAACAACCAATAAAAAAATAAAAATAAACAGATGATACACAGAGAAAAAAAATAAACACATTCTATAGCAAAAAAAAACCTAAGTAAATACAAGGATGACCAGTAGAGAAGAAAAAGGGGTACAGGGGGAGGGAGGACAGGAAGGAAAGAGGAAATACTGGGGACTGAAATGGAGCAAATTATGTCCTAACCATGTTTGATTATGTCAAAATGAACCTCACTATTCCGTGTAACTTTAATGCACTAACAAAGAATTTTTTTAGATAGCTAAAAAAAAAAAAATACAATAATACATAACATCTCTAAACTGCTTATTAATGGCCAGATATTACTAAATGCTTTACTTAACATTATTTTTATATGGGAAATGAAAATGAAATAAATGAATTAAAGTTGCTCAAGGTCATACGGTAAATGATGGGACCAAGATTTGAATATAAGCAGCCTTGTTCCAGAGCCCACATTTTTTTTTCTCCTCATAGTGGAGATTAAACCCAAGGCACTTTAGTTCTGAACTGCATTCCAGTCCTTTTTATTTTAAATTTTGAGACAGAGTCTTGCTAATTTGTTCAGGGTCTTGCTAAATTGTTGAGGCTGGCCTTGAATATGTGAGTCCTCCTGCTTTAGCCTCCTGAATCACTGAGATTACAGGTGTGTAAAATGGCACCCAGCTAGAGCCCACAGTTTTAATCTCTGTGAGATAATTTTTTGTTTTCAGTTAAACAAACCACCTATTGCTATGGTATTCAGTGTCTTGAGTAATAACTGGTAGAAATTTTTCATCACCCACCATTATTCTGAAAAATACTTTGGAAACCCTAAAGTCTGGAATACAAACACCTCAGGTTATGTCAGCACTTCTCTGCATACAAATCTTGGATGAGATTTGGGCATTGTAAACATCAGTCTCAGCTTTTGGATCAACCTCCTAACTTAGAACCATAATTCAATTTCTACATGTTTCTCACAGAATAAGGGACATTTGGTTGTCTTCTTTAATACAAATCATAAAGATTTAGATGTGTTAATAATCTGTTCATGGGCCTATCTTTGAGGGTTTTTAAAAGTGATACGATATTTGAAGGCACTTCATGGATTTAGAAATAAAAGACAATTATATAGTACACAAAATAGTTTTTGTTTGCTTAAGATCTGCCTTTTTTATGGTTCAAATGGTGCCCCTGCTGAATCCACAAGGCCATAATTTATTTGAGCAACAAATGCCCGTTCATCCTAAGGAAAATCATTTGATAGCCTTTAGTTGAATGTCTTTGCAACTTTCATCATTTCTCAAAGAAAAGTTCTCTTAAATTATCACTATTTGCAGATGACATGATTCTATACCTAGCAGACCCAAAAGGGTCTACAAAGAAACTATTAGAGCTAATAAATGAATTCAGCAAAGTGGCAGGATATAAAATCAACATGCATAAATCAAAGGCATTCCTGTATATCAGCGACAAATCCTCTGAAATGGAAATGAGGACAACCACTCCATTCACAATATCTTCAAAAAAAATAAAATACTTGGGAATCAACCTAACAAAAGAGGTGAAAGACTTATACAATGAAAACTACAGAACCCTAAAGAGAGAAATAGAAGAAGATCTTAGAAGATGGAAAAATATACCCTGTTCATGGATAGGCAGAACTAACATCATCAAAATGGCGATATTACCAAAAGTTCTCTATAGGTTTAATGCAATGCCAATCAAAATCCCAAT